CTTTTTTTTTTCAATTTGCTTCAGCACTTTTGTAAGGAAAAGTTACAGCATCGATTTTATTTGACCACAAAATCTATTTGCGTCAGGGAAAATAATACTGGCTGTGCCGGCGTCACACCTGCTGTCACTAGCCTTTTTTCTTCTGCACATCATGGAATCATCTTTGTTTGCTGTTTGTTTAGAGATGCTTGTCAGATTAACTTAAACCAAACACGCCTCGTCTGGAGATGCACATGTAAGCTGTTGGAGCCAAGCTTCAAATAAACTTTGGTAGCAACTTAACAACTAAAAAAAAATGCAAGCATCAGAACACACTTTGCTGTTCAGAGCGTTCCCGAGAACCATAACCATTCACTGTATACTCTCTGACGGACTTGCAAGCCGTAAATGACCACATGTTTATGTCAGTGAAGAAGGGCTGCGTCAAAGGAAACTAGATTTCCTGTTTTATTGAGCTATTGCTGAAATGTTTGTGAAATGAAACAATTTGGCTCTGGAACATATCCACTATCTTCTGACATTTCACATGGGATAAACAAGAAAAACAAGGTGCTGAATAAATGATAATGAAAATAATTGTTAGTTGCAGTCCTAGTTCATATTATATTCACTTAACTTCCACCATGCCCATATTGCCTGTAGTCGAGGTAACTAAGATTATGTTTGACAGATTGGGTTGCGCTGTGGTTGAAGTCATGTACTCACTCACTCATCTGAGGATGTTCCCCAGCCCAGCTTACATAGATTAGAAGTGCTGACAGGTTTTCAGGCTGAGATGATACACTATCCTTCCAGGAAAGACAGCGCTTCATGGTGCGCTGGAAGAAGATGGAACAATAGAAGTTAACTGAAATGACACATAATGCGGTTTTACTTTGTGTGACTACAAACACCTGTACAATGTAAAGCAACTGAATTCCGTAGTCCTGCAAAAAGTATTACATAACTTAAAATGTTCAATTTCTGTAAGACTTGTACTAATTGTTTGTCGACCTTGTTTACATATATAAAGGAACTATAATTCAGTCCAATACAACACCACAGACTACAGCACCAGAAATGACTGGACATCTCTCTGAGTGTCAGCTACATTTAAGAATTATATAAAATTACAATTTCAAAACGTTCACCAAGGTTGTACTGTCAGGAAATGACTGCTGTGATGGATTGTATTACAGTGTACAGGGCCTTGTAATTTTCTAGTTACCCAGTGTGCCTGTCCAGATAACACCATGCAGATTGTGACAAAGCAGGATAGTTACTGAATAGTGAGATGGTGTGACAGGACGCAGTGTCATCAGACCCGTGTCATCATTGGGAGTTTGGCAGTGGCTGAATGCAGTCTTACATTCTCCCCGCTCTCACTGGAGCACCTTTCCCCCCTTGTCCCAGCCTGTGCTCATTTCACAATGTGTGCATAACTTAATTTAGAGCATAATTTAATGTAAAGTTTCAGGCACACTCAATTCTCTAATGCACCATTTATTTCTGACTGAGCAATTAAATCTCTGCTCAATTGAGCACTGGATGTTTGCTTTATTGATCTCCATCCAGGTTTTGAAGCTGATGCTTTTATATCAAGGATGAAGCTACTTTGGTATTGACATACTGGCACTTGACTCTTGGCCACTTTTGCTTTACTTGCTAACATCATTGGCACTGAATGGCTTTGTTTGACCTTTGACAATGAGGCAAAGCTAATGCAATCAGTTCCATTTTTCCTTACGTTAACATTTCTTATGTGGCCTTTAGCTCACTATTTTGGAGATGAGCATTGCGATCACGTAACTGCTCAAAAATGATGTGGGCCCCATGGTCTGACCCTCATTATATTTTACAGTGAATCCGCCACTAAATGAATGGCCATTCAATAGTTCCTTTCTTATCTTTAAGACCCTGGGGCATGGACTACTTCCTCATTTTATATAGAATCTCATTTTCAGCATGAATTATGTGTGTAGGTGCCAACATTTCTTTTTGAGAATCACCACTGACACCCAGAGCTTGCTTATGCAAGTTGTTGTATGGCTTTTGAAGAACAGTGTTGGCTTAATCTGCATGAACATTAGTGGTTGTTTATTTGATAGGCCTGCAACCTTGAAACTGTGCATTAGCATGGCTCTTGTGCATAATCAATCCTAAAGAGATGGGCACAGGTGAATTGGCACTAGTAGAAGCCAGCCAACTAATACTGTTGACTGTCTGACCTGTAACTCTGAAGTGCAAGCCAGAGCCCTTTGCAGGTCCTTTGACGTGATGCAAATTTGGTTTGTAAATTGTTCCTTACTTGCATTTTATGTTTTGTCTGCGCAGCCCTTTGTACATAATTGCTTTTTCTGGTCCTACATTGTTGTTTGCAGTATTGTGTGTCTGGAATGCTGTTATTACATTTGTAAATGGCATTTTTCAGAGTACACAGAGGAAGAATAACTTCCAGACACACTGCATTCAAATAAATGAACAATGGTAGTCCATGGGGGTGTTCTTGGCTTACTACTCCTCCTGGGGGCTGGTTGGTGTTTGAAATAGAAAAACCTGGATGTGTTTGTGTCCTTGGATCCTGTTGTACTTCCTTTCTCTCACATTCTTTCTTCCTCCCACTCTTTCCCTCTCTTGCTTTCATCCTCTGGCAGCCAGGTCCGTCCGGTCGTGCTGAAGGAGTGTCAGTGTGTGCCGAGCGGGTAGGGGATGGTAGATTTGACAGCCATACTGAGGTGTGAACATAGCAGCTCATGCATAAGGGAGCATTATGTAAGCCTGTTGGCTCCCTTCTCTAGTCTGGACTGGAGAGATGATGGTAAATATTTCAGAATTAAGGCAAGGAATTTGGCCTTTATTTTGTGTTATTTAACCATTAATTAGAAGCAAATTATTATGGGAACTGGAGTTACGTAATCTGTTTTTGTCCCCACATGCATATGAATTAGGTTTCCAAGTGTTTTAGGCTATTCTTTGATCTAACCTCTTGTCAGCAGCAGACTTTGGGCAGCTTGCTGTCCAGGTGGCTGTAATTCACACGTTCCCTGGGCTTGTCCAGGATCAGATGTTCATGGTTATGTGTCCCCTCAACAAACATGTTGCTGGCCTTTATATTAGATAAAGCAGATCTCCTGCCTGCATAACCTTAATAATTTACAGACACAGTAATAGCTGCACAACTTGTACTTGAGCTGAGAACACAACTATATTTAAGAACTTTTGGGTAGGGTCCTCACTTAGATAACGTCTTGACTGTCGGAGGAGAAAAGATTTGGTAATATAATGGTAGTTTGGGTAACTTTTCATGTTTAAACTAATCTTATTAACCACAAAAACAGAACATTAAACAAAGACTTGTATACATTTGGACTGTGGACCAAACATATATACACACACATATAATATATATGTGTGTGTGTGTGCGCGCGCACTTGAAAGATATCTCTTCAGCTCAGGTAGAGCTGAGGACATACACTTTATTTTGTACAGTAACATCTTAAGAATGTTTATTGATTGATCTGTTAGTTTACCCCTGAAAGAGGTGGGAATAGTCCTTATCCATTGTGAGATACGGAACATGCTTGAGGATAAGAAATATAGATGTAGCAGCTGTGGCTGATCCAGTATACTGGCTTTGTTGCTATCATGGTCCACCAGCCCTTGTGGTGGTCCACCCCAAGCATTAGGATTCCTTGTGTTTGGGATGTCAGGAGAGAAATTCAGGCCACTGAGTGAACAGTGTACGCCAAGTTTTCTAGGCTACACTTGTGTGTCTGTGTGCAGTTGTGAGTTTGGATGTATAAACTTCTTCTTTAGTGACAGTGAATCAGCATGATACTGCTGCACTAAACTCATATACTAGATCAGTCATTGATATTGACTTCATTAAAAAGCCAGATAATAGCAAATCTCATTTCTTTGCCACTATTATTGTAAAGCTGCAACAATGTAGCTTGATAACCTTTTACAGAAAAATGTAATTAAACATTTCACAAGCCTAAAAAGAATGTTAAATGTAGAGACATACATTCATATGTCTCTTAACTTAGAACTAAGCGGTGATGTGTAGTTATAGCCTCAGGCTATGTCAATTATTTAATTAACCCAGTCACTTCCACACAGTGCAGGAAACACATTTTAAATTCAAGAAGGAACAAGGAAACAATTAATCACTAAGATTTCTTGTCGTTTTCCTCAGTTCCTTTTTTCTTCATCATTTATACCATTGTTTTTGGGATTTACATATGGAGAGCTCCTGTAAAGTTATGACAATGACCCAGCTTCCCTGGCTTGCTTTGTGATTCACCCCGTCTACCTTTTATGGAAGAGGAATGCTCAGGCCACTTCATATTGAGGGGAATCCATTGTGCTTTTGGCTCCTGACCTGGTTGCTGAAGTCTCTTCCTCTTTCAGACATTAGCCTTGTGTGTTTGTGTGTTCCATATCACCCTGCCATCTGCATCACGACAACGTAGCTCAACCCATAAATCTGAGCACAGCATTTTTCTCCTGGCTGCCCACATTCACTACTGGTTTATCATTGACGAGTGACCACCTGGGGAAGAAGAAATGAAGTTATAGTCCCTGCACAATCACCATTTAGGCCCGCTGACCCTTGTCATACTTTTCTTTGTCCGTTTTCTGAGTTATTGGCTTGTGCTCAACAGTTTTCCAGCAGAGTGCTTTTCAAGTCTTTTTAATTTTCTGCACCACAGTAGAAAATCTAATCTTTTAATTCTTGACCTGAGTGGAATGCAGGCCTTCTAAGACTGGAAACAAATCCTTTGTGATCATTGTATATTTGATGGTGGTTCAAATTTTTGGCTTACCTTCAAGTAATTCTTTTTTCTTGTATGATGCACATTTTGTTTTGTTAGATTTGACTGGACCGGTTCTCTAATGTCTAATCTCTGTTTAAGTGGAGAGAAGCACCCAGAATCACTAACATTTGCTCTCTTTCCTTTCTCACTTATCTTTATCTCTTCCCATCTTTCACCCCCCTCTGCTGCTTCCTCCTCTAGCTCGGCGGTGATGAGAGAAGAGTTGACAGTAGGACTATCTATGTCGGTCATCGGTCAGGCTCCACCAATGAGGCTATCATCCCACCCAAGTTCTGTGATAACAGGATTGTATCCTCCAAGGTAAGATGCACACTCACAAGCACATGCCAGGGCTCCAGTCTAGCCATATACCAAGATGAAATTCTTATACCTGTTTGTTTCTCAGCTCCTCTGCGTATTATGTTTCAATGCCTCCAGGCATTTTTCTTCTTATCTAACACTTGGAATGCAAAATGAACTCTTGAACAGTCCTGAGCATTCCTGTGTCTTCCTCTCTGTATTCCTCCTCCCACTGCCTCTCCACACGGAAGGCGATTATTTGTCTGTCAGGGGAGCAGTGGCTGTGGCAGTGAAATACATGGGTGCTATTAATATACTGGCAGGATGGGCAATTCAGTCCTTTCCCCCATGGCTCTGATAACCCGCCCACCCCCCACCCCCATCCTTGTCTAAACCTCACCCCTCAGTCCTGTGTCAGCGGCCAGCTCAGGCAGGTGCTAGCTGGCTGGCTTCTGGATATGAAGGGTGAAAGTGATGGGGAGAAGGAAGTAGGACGGCAGTAGGATTTATAGTGGTGCAGAGGGTCCCAGTGAGGATGGGCCAATCAATTGGCTCCTGCCAGTATGTCAGGGTAAACAGTCTTTAATTACCCCGGCTGTAGTGTTTATGCTCCTCCATGCCTCTGCTCTCCATCATCCTGTTGCTTTTGCACTCTGCAATGACCAATCTCCGCCTCTCCTCTCCTGCTCTTGTTGCTACTGCACCACCACACTCAGCCACCCTCACCACTGCCACCCCCCTTTTCTCATTACTTTCACTCTCTTTTCTCTCTGGCAAAATGAGATGGGCCATTCTGCTGCCTCTGCATTTCAACGCTCTCCCCATGCAGACATTCCCCTTCATAAACAGTGCCTTAATGCTGTTTCTGTGTTAATGCGTGTGTGTCTGTGCATGCATGCATATGTATTATTTGTGTTTTTCACCCTAGTACTTTGTTTTGTGGCACAAAGTTACTAGCAAGGTGTTGTTGAGCTGCCTCCCAGGGATTTAAGCGGATAAAAGTGTTGCTTCAGCCCTGATGGTATCAGCAGCCACAGCCACCTAAAAAAGAACAAAACACACAGAAACAGTCACCAGCCTGATAAGTTCATTGGTTTTGCATCCAAGGGTTGCCAAATTAAGGAGATAAATCGCTAATCTGAATCAATGGAATACCTGTGGTCCCCCAAGGGCCGACTCCCTAGGCAGTATGAGGAACAGAGACTCCAGGTTATTGAAGTTGCCTTTCCTCTTCCCCTTCCCTAGTTCAGTCAGAATACATGTATGCAAGAGTCTGAATATTGAATGCCTCTAATCTCTCTCCCTTTGCCAAGCCTTTCTTTAACCTCACTAAGTTCGCCTGAAAAACATCAGGTCTGAATGGGGAAATTATGCAGGAAAATTATGCAGCAAAGAGCAGCAAAAAGCAGTCCACACAGTGTAATACCTGTTTCTGTGACTTACATGCATGTTTTTCTCTCTCACCCCCCTCCCACAGTATACAGTTTGGAACTTTCTACCAAAGAACCTGTTTGAACAATTTAGAAGAATTGCCAATTTCTACTTCCTTATCATCTTCCTGGTGCAGGTAAGGACAGGCTTTGTCAGTGTTCCAAACCAAACAAAGATAACAGTTTGTTTATCGTTGTAATGAATGAATTCATGGATGCCTGTTTTTTCTGTGACTTTGGAGCTGCCACAGCTTCCTTGAAGGATTGAGCAGTGTGCTTATTTCTTGAGAGACAGACATAGTTTTTTAATGAAGTCCAATTGATTGCTTAAAATTTTGCAATTCTGCTGTTTTGAATGGCTTTTCAAGAAAAATGTTTTAAAGTAGGAAATGATGACAAGTTATATGTGAATCAAGTCATCTATATTTACACAAAGACACAAAGACATGTGTGTGTGTGTCTTACATATTCATAATAAAGCAAAGGACAGAAGGATATAATCAAAAGCTATTCACTATATGACTAAATACATTTCAAGAGTTAGGCTGTACTGTGGTGTGCTCAATATGCTTCAAGATTAAACATAAACATATAGTAATCTCACCTAGTTTGCGTTACATATTCAAATTTAATGTGCACATTGTTAAGTGTTTATTGTAAGTAAGCTGTTCACAGTTCACATCTTGCAACCTTGTTACATCATGTGTAAGCCAATTAATGAGAATTTTTTATGGGCTAGTAGCACCTGGACTTTGAGCGTGTAGACTTTATTTTTATCTGACATGTCTGTAAGGATTTTCCCTATAATTAGGTTACAAGGTTGAAAGGATACATCTGTCTTTAAGATTTTATTTTAGTGTTCACTCACCCAAGAATCCTATAATTTTGGGCAATCTCCAAAAAACTGTGCAAAATAGAAGTATGTTATTTATTTAAAGAAATATGTTTTAATTGATAATTTTCTTGTCATTGCTTCTGTCCTGGAAAAAAAAAAAAATAATTGCCTCAGCAGATTTTTGTTGGCTTATATGGTGATCTTAAAATTCTCTTTGTGTGTCTGTCATTGTTAGCTTGTGTTGTGTGTGCTGCCCTATCCTCATAAGTGGAAACTGTGAGCTGGTGCTGACTAAAGTGCATTTACTGGCATCCTTATTCCCCTGCTCTGTGCTCTTAAATGACCTCTCCTCTCGTCTCCTCTCCTCTCCTCTCCTCTCTTCTCCTCTCCTCTCCTCTCCTCTCCTCTCCTCTCCTCTCCTCCTCTCCTCTCCTCTTCGGGATCTGGCGGTTGATGATTGGAGCAGAGAACAAAAAAGAAGATTTGTTGCTTACATCTGCTCTTGCTCTTCCATCATCCCTTTCTCTCTCTATCCTTTTTCTGATCCATGGAGATGGAAACTATCCTCTCTCTTTTAAGCAGTAACCTAAACTATGGCGGCAAACAGCCCTCTTGTGTAAACAGTTGCTAGTGTTGGACCTGCTCAGGAGGGATGTACTTTCTCTTGTCGCATACTGACTGAATGAGCTCACAGAGTGACTGCTCCCAGAAGCGGAGCACTGTATCAAACTGAGAAATATCTGTGATTCCATCATTTAAGTCAATAGCAGATCAAGTGCAGTGTTTATTTTTCCCCTGGTCCTTGTTTCCACCTGTATTTAAAGTTAACACTCCGGCCTGTATTTGCCACTTAGGTTTAACTCTATATTGTCCTCAGCTAAAGGATATAACTGCTGGATTTTGAACAGTTGTGAGCTAATGTGTGAAATTATCGTGAGCTAATGCAGCACACTCGTGTGGGAGTAAACCACCAAGCATGTTAGCATCACTCACACAAACTGCCTATTTTTGCGTGTACGCACAAGGATTAACAGTGTGGGATGTGTGCAGTGTAGAATGTTTGTTTGTCTGTGAATATGTTGCATGTATGTGTATATGCATGTGCATGTGATGTGTGACTCAGTGGGTGTCCTGGGTTTGCTGATGGTGTTTACCCAAGCTGCAGTGTGGTTGGCGTTTCTCCACTAATCCAGCCTCTCTTGAGGGGCTCCTTATCCTAACCACTCAGTTTTTCCCATGCAGCCTGTTATTATGTCAGAGAGAGAAGATGAGAGAGAAACAGGTACACAGACTCTGTGTGCACTCATTTTGCACTTGCATTTCACATACAGAAATAAACATTCACACTTCCCCTGGGAGGCTTCATGCAAATGCTCTACCAACAACTAAATGTCATGCATCCTCTAACTGTGTGCTACCCTCCTTTTGTATCCATATTTGTCATTTGTTCTCATTCTTCCTGTCTTTCTTTCTCCCTTTGTCTCTCACATTCCCCCCATCTCTCTGCAGCGCTGCACTGCTGACGTCAGCAGCCAGGAAGCCCTCTGTACTTCTGAGTGCCACAAATAGACACAGGCTGATAAAAAAGCACAACCCTCCTATAAATAGCCCTGCATGTCTTTGCTTGAATTTGATCGAATGGGAATAGAGCGCTGTGAGAGAGTAAGAGAAGCAGTAATGAGAGAGCAAGAGAGAAAAGGAGAGAAAGAGAGAGGGAGAATGAGAGGATGAAGGGGTAGGAGGATGCAAGGGCCCCCAGTGCTGCCCTGGGACCCCGGGGACCTGCTGTCTGTTGCTCACTCTGACACACTTCCCGGCTCAGATGAAGGGCTTCGTGCTGCTCCGCTGTGCTGCTCTGATATCACACCAGCACATCAGCAGCAGCACACAGTTCACTCCTATTGCTGAAAATTTTTTTTTTTTTTTTTGGCTTTTCATTTGGTGCAGAGGAGGAAAGGTATTTTCGCCATCTAGAAGTTTGGTGGCGATTGTTGTAAATCAGCAGAGATAAACAGGGAAGGACAAGCTCAGGGACAATTGTGTGTTGGTTGGCAGAAAGAGAGTAGCTGAAGGTTTTGAACAGGTGTTAGTTTTCTTAGTAGTTTCCGGTTGCAGTATTTTCAATAATGATACTGTTGATACACACCCTTGTGAGGGGTGGCTGTGAAACAAGTGTGTTCAAGTGTGACTTCATACAGTTTTGTAGTGTGATATGAAACATAGAATCACACATAAAAGACACCACCATAATTTGTCTCTTTTTGTAGTCCCCTATTGAACAGTTGCCATCAGTATTGTCATAGAAGTGCCAAAGATATCAAAGAATCAAAATCAAACAACCTTTAACAAGCCTTTGTCATGTTTGGCCATCTGGCTGCTGCATCAAAGGGACGCACTGTCCTCAGTCCTTCCTGTAGTAGTTATTTTGCTTTCAAAAAAGGCAAATTTCGGTCCACTCATGTGAATAAGAGATGGGAGCTATCAACTTAATAGATAAAAATAAAGTGCTTCATCACTTTCCTCCAGTGTTCACCAGACGTGTGTGTTTGGTGGAGTGCTCTGCTTTAAAGGTCTGGCCGTGTCAAACAGTGGAGGGCTAACATGACCAGGGTAAACTGAGCTTTTCTCAAGAGGCGTTCCATAATCCGCTAGCTACATAGCCTGTAGCAGTTTCCCAGGTGTTAGGAGTGCTTAACATACGGCCCCGTATCCCATCCTCATGCACACACTGCTCTTTTGAAGCATTGAGTGCACTCACCTCTGGCTCTCTGTTATTACTTTTGCCTCTGTCTCACTGGAATCGCTAACTACTACAAATATAATGCAGACTCTCCTCTGAATTTGCACTCCTCCAAATGGTCGATGTGCACTAGCCCATCTCTGCCTTGTAATTGATTTATCCTCCAGTTAATTGTAATCACAATAAAGCTTGGGTAGGCTAGCAGCTCACTGCCCTTTTAGTGTGTATGCGTGCGTGCGAGCGTGCGTGCACATGTGTGTTTGTGTGTATAGTGCTGGTAGTGTGGGTACAGAATGTGGCTGTGTGTTCATGTTTGTCTGTGATTGCTGAGCGAGCAGCAGGTTTGTTTTATTCCCAGTCCCAGCACAGGTGAGGAAAACACCGGAGACTGCTTCAAAACACATCTCCTGCTCTTACTTGAGCTGATGTCTATCTGGCAGCTTGTAGTGCTCCTGGTCAGAATACCAACGAGCTGGATGTACCATGTCTGTGTGAGCTGTAATACGCACTCCGGCTCAGAGGGAGACCAGCCTGCATTCTGCAGGATCAGAAATGCCAGACTAAATCCATCTTATGATGGTTTTAAGGAATACACAAACACACAAGGCCATTTGTGTGCTGGGGTTTTAGCTGGGAGCCTGGGTCAGGTGCTGCTCCTAAACTGTTTGGGATTACCTGATTACTGGTCCCACACTTATTCTTATTATACACACAAATAAAAAAAAAACACAACACATACACAATACTGTACTTCCTTTACACACAGTTCAAGCAGGCAAGGTGAGTCCAACAAAGCTTTGTGTTGGCCCTCTCCCATGCCTTGGCAGATACACAGAAGTGTTGGCATGCCTGTAGATTGAGCACTCTGTTGCTGGCCCAGTTGATTAAAGTTCTGTGGTCCATAACCTCCCTCCTTTTCTTCAAAATGTAATCCTGTGATTCCTACTGATGAGCAAATTTGGAGAATAGTAGAAACGCCTCACAGAAACAGACTACACCCAGCATTTAGAGGGCTAGCCCCATCTTCTAAACCTTTGCCACACACTCCTCCCTTTGTAACCACAGACACACATGTGCTGCAGCAAGTTTTTGTTGTGATGTATAGTATTCAATGCATAGCTTTTCAGTTTGAAGGTCATGTGTTAATCATTGAGTGTTAAATTGACATTTCTCTGAATTGATTATTTTTCTCAATAGGTGATAGTGGACACTCCCACCAGCCCAGTCACCAGTGGCCTACCCTTATTTTTTGTGATCACAGTAACGGCTATCAAGCAGGTAAGACATTGCCTAATGAGGCTGATGAGTGTGGATAATTGTTATTGATGTTGCCCTGTCCTCATTTCCTTGTATTCTGTCATTACATTATATCCTTCCTCACTCTCCATATAACATAATAAGTCCCCTGCCTTCATAACTCCCTTGCTGTGATTTTTGTATAAAGTACGTGACTAATGCTCTCTTGGGTTTTGTATTAATGTGCTCCGCTGGCAAATTCTGATTTGGGAGAACACGAAATGCGCTCTCTGGGAGCGTGAGCAAATGGAGAGAGAAAGCAAGTCTATTACAGAGATACAAATTATCAAGGGGAGTGTCTGTTTCTTTGACGCCCATGCTTCCATGTCCCAGCTTTAGATGTATTGTCTTAGAGTTGGCTTTTTAGTTAGACCACTGCTGGGGCTTTGAAATACACAATAGTGGGTGGACTTCCTTCTGAAAATATATGTGGTGGACTGATAGCGCTGGACGGCCTTCAGCCAGGCTTTGAAGTGGGACACCAAGGCGGGCTGCCCGACCCTATTAGTCAGGCAGAAGTGAACTGTGTAGTTCAACTGACCGTCCGTGGAATCCCCCCCCCCATTCATCCACCTGGCATCATTTCTCTGCATCACTCAACCAGACTTTCTCTCTCCTCCTATCACCTTTCCCAGTAATCCCGCTTTCTGGCTCAAGCTCTGCCTTGGCACACACTCTGGTTTCCCTCTCTACCCTCTACATCTCTGCACCATCATCCTCTATCTCCATCACTATCTTAAAGTACTTATGAAGTCTACACTAGGCTTTGTGCCTTATGCTGCTGCAGCCGCAGGAATGATTTCTTTTACCTGACTCAGTATTATTTCATGGTATACTGTTCTAATGCACTGCTGGACCAACAAGATCCAATTCTGCTGCTGCAAGCAATCTTTTTCACATAATGATGAAATACTAAATGTAAAGATTATATTGTATGCACAGACATTTCTTTGTATCTTACACTCTTCCTGTGTTATTAGTGAGAGCTCCTGTCAATCATCTACAGTGTGTGTACATGTACTTATGTCACTTTGTTAGCTTTCAGTATCCCGTGCCACAAACACCACAGATTTTGTACATTTTGCTGCACTAAGCAAATAATGCAATTCGGATTTTGATATGTTGTCATAGGGCTATGAGGACTGGCTACGGCACAAGGCTGACAATGAGGTGAATAAATACCCAGTGACAGTGCTAGAGGACGGCCGCAGGATACCGAAGGAGAGTGAGAAGATCAAGGTACCTTTCAGCAGCCACATCTTAGCTTAGATCCACTGGAATAAATATGTCCTTTGAGACATGGCTCGAAAGAAGCTGTTGGCAGCTGACATGACTGAGTTTGGAATATATGCACAGGGGAGAACATGCTCTGTCTACTGAACTGATTAGATGTTCCAACATGGTTGTGATGGTAATTAATGTATCCAGGGTGTTGTGTTCAGGTCATGTCTTCAATGCATTCCTATCAGTTTGCTGAAGGTAACAGTATTTTCAAAGATTTATGGCTGTTCAAAAGGTTGAACATGCATTAAACACTTTTCTTTCAGTATTTACTGTGAGCCAAATGACTCCTGGTTGTGTAGTGCTGCTGACACCACTGAGAATGAACATCCAGCTGTCAAAACCAAAACAATCTTGCTTTGTATAAAACTGTGGACAGCTGCTCTCAGCACAGGAGCGCTCACAAGTTAGCTGTAAGCTACCTCCTAGTGCTAAAGGAACTAGAGCGCAAGTAAACATTTAACAAGCTGAAGAGAGCCAGACTCTTTGTCATTAGTTGGCAGACCAAACCATAGCTGAAAGATGAGTGAATATTGGCCAGTTGTCAGACAGAGGATTCTGCAGGGATGCTCATATGGCTCTGTTAATTCAATATTTGTTTTCAAACACATTAGCCACAACAACTTGATAAGAAATTGGTAGTGATGTGCTAATAAGAAGAGGTAAGAAGAAGCAAACAATGAAAAGTATTTACAAGTGGCATTGTTTCTTTGATCAGGTTGGGGATGTTGTGGAGGTGGAGGAAGATGAGACCTTTCCCTGTGATTTGATTCTGCTGCATTCTAGCCGAGATGACGGCACATGTTTCGTTACCACAGCAAGTCTTGATGGAGAGTCCAACCATAAAGTAAGATGGGCTGCTCTGCCGTCCACCCTTTTCTTTCATAACAGAATGGTTAGGTTGTAATATTTGAAAGTATTTTCATCAAAGTTTTGGCTTGGAAGAATAATTTTGGAACTTGTTTCAATTGAATTAAATTAATTATAATTAATGTTTTTATAAATATGATGACTATTAGAATATTAGAAGGGAAGTGGTTATAGCAGAGCATTCATTTTTAGTTTTTGCAACAGTTATTGCATAATTAATAGGAATAGGAATTCTAGGAGGGACCACAATTGAAACAAGCCTTCGGGCTTTATTGTGTTTTGATCCTTTGTGATTAATGTATGTAATGACTGCAGTGCAGCATTATATGTATTCTTAAGTTATTGAATAAAGTTAATCAATCACATTAAAACTATATGTAAACTACCAGTCAAAAGTTTTAAAACCCCCCCTTTTTTCCAGTTTGTATTGGCATTTGAGTTGTTCAGGTTCAATGAATAACCTTAAATGGTATAAAATGGTAAGTGGTAAACAGCCCAGGGTGAAAAAGTTTAGAAATTGTTTAACTTTTTTTCCTGCAGTACAGGAGTAAACTGTGTTACTACACCCTCTGATGCATTATTCGGATAATACTTTACTACAGGAAGTAGTGCTGTATACTGCTATCAGAATGGTGAGAAAAGAACAAGTAACAAAGAGAAACTGATTAGTGAGGGGTTCATCATACGGCAAGATAATGACCCAAAACATTAGAAGAAAAGAATGGTGAACGGCTTCACATGATGGGAGACCCACACAGCCTTCAGGCTTAAGCCTCATGGAGCTGGTTTAGGAAGAACTGGACAGCAGGTGAAAGCAAAGCAAACTAAGCGCAACACATGTGTGGGAACTGTGCAACAGTGTTGGAATGAACCTTCTGAACAATATTTCCATATTTCCAGGGTTTCCATTATAGAAAGAACATCATGAGTGTGTTTGGCTGCTTAAAGTCAAAAATTTAGGAATGAAGATTCATGCTTTTTCCCCCCAAGTAACAACTGGAAAAATTGAGTTGTTCTAAAGCCTGTGACTGGTAGTGTATGTCACAGTTCTTTTGAAAGATAGTGAAGTTGTGTTTATCAGCCTTGCTTTGAAAAAGTTTCTCTCTTCTATTTCCTGAGAAAAATGTGTCGGTGCCTTTTTGATGCTCAGGTGTGAGTCACAGTATCTGGGAATTGTTTTGTAATGTCTATGTGTGACAGGTAGGGGAAAGCTAAAATGATCACTTGACCTATGTTGGTTCACACTCACAGCTCACACTCTCTCTCTCTTGCTCAGACACACTACACCGTGCCAGATGCAGAGAGGGATCTGGAATCTCTCAACGCCACCATCGAGTGTGAACAGCCACAGCCTGACCTTTACAAGTACGCACTCATCATGTGGCCCCAGCAGATTTACACTACAAGAATGCAATGCCTGTAGTTTGTTGGGAAATGGATTAACTTACTGCTATTTGAAAGCCTTCTACATGACTCTTAACCTGTACATTTTTGGTAAACAACTGTGTAATTTGGTTGGTTTCACATTAGGAATGGTTGAACAACTCAGTCAACTCAGTTCAACAGACAGCCTATGGCTCCCCCTTGGGGCAAGGAGTTGGAATATTGTTATTTAGCCAGACATCAGGATGGTGTTTGAGACGTACCAAGTATGCCATAGCGCCAAATGCTTACTATTCAGACTCAATAAAACTGACATCGTGCTGCGGGCTAACCACCAGTAATTAGCTGGCTCCCAAAACTCTGCACCTAATTTTAGGTCAGTGAGTGCTTGCAGTCTTGTGAAGTAAATTAACTCATGGATTTTGATACCTCAAGTTTAAATTCACTGTAGTTTTAACAGATTGAATAATATGCAAAACAACTACATGTACTTTTTACAAATGACAATTTCTGAATGTGTATGTAATTTTGTTCCAGGTTTGTTGGCCGTATGCACATCTACACAAATAATCAGGAGCCGGCAGTGAGGTGAGAGCACTCATGCACAACCATTTCAGGCCACTTAAAGTGAGAGCAAAATCAAAACACAGTTGCTTAAGCACTCATTTGTTTCCCTTTGCATCACCAACAAATCATTATTCCATTGATCCATCATTGCAGACAAGCATTAAAATTAAAACAGGCTGGCATGGCTTCAGCCACTGCTTCCAAAGCACTCCCACAGGCATTTATCATTGACTGCTTTGTAATGACCACAGAAACAAATGCCAGTGTCCTTCTCAAGAACACTGGGACTGGTGTAAGCCCAGACTGCAGTCATACAGTGTATTGTCACTGCGTATTTTAAAGTGGATGCCGGCTTGCCTGCCAGGTTTCCATTTAGAGAACAGGAGAGTGTGTGAACTGCACAGCTCCTGTATGACTAAACTGATGGATGTTCTGATGTAAATGTGCAGGTCTTTGGGCCCAGAAAACCTACTGCTGAAAGGCGCCACTTTAAAGAACACTCAGAAAATCTGTGGTGAGTCAAATTGATTGATTGACTTTTGACTTTATTACAATAGTTTATATTAGTGAAGATGGCTCAGTATCTAAAAACTAATCCCTCTTCTTTTTCTTCTCTCTTTCTCAAGGTGTTGCAGTTTACACTGGCATGGAGACAAAGATGGCTCTCAACTATCAGGGCAAATCTCAGAAACGCTCTGCTGTGGAGAAGTAAGTTTAGAGGAATAGGTGTAAACAAGTTTAGAATATTTGACATACTGTTGGTACTCATTAATTTGATTTCTCATATTTTCAGGTCTATCAATGCCTTCCTCCTTGTTTACCTTTGCATATTGGTGAGCAAGGCCCTAGTGTGCACTACACTTAAGTATGTGTGGCAGAGCAAGCCTGGACAGGATGAGCCTTGGTACAACGAGAAAACCCAGAGAGAGAAGGAGACCAATCTGGTGAGCACATATTTTTGTAACCTGCCTGTCCTTGTTGTCAAAACAGTCAACTGTGAGTTAAGTGTCTGAAAGGCACCGAAGCAGCCCAAACCAATTGCCAGTATAGAATACACAGTCAAAAAATATTTCTTATTTTAATCCTCTTATTCTTATTTTTTTGTAGTACCATATGTCTTCTACTGAGATGTTAGCAACTGGGAGTGAAATAAGTGGAGTAATACTGTACATGTCTAGAGCTTCACAGGGATTACCCCTGCTGTGAGAAGAATAGCTAATTGGTCCTGGTAGCATTGCATCAGTATATTATTGTGTGTATAATATGGTAAATACTTACCCTCTGATGGCTTGTAGTTGTAACTTCTGGGGGCACGGCTCCATCCATCGTATTAAAGCACTTTACAAGCCCTAGCCTCTTTAGATCAACACTAGTTAAATTCTTCTCAGCAAAATGGCCACTGCAGGCCCACATTGTGACATGGTCCATTTCACTGGCTGCCCTTGCCCTCAATGAACTGTGAACACGGTGATACAACACTGCCATTGCTTCATGTTTTATATTTGTTTTTTGGATAATCTAGGATTACCGATTCCCAACTGAGGCACTTAGTGTATGTTATGCACAAGGGGTGCAATTTAGATAAAGGTCCACTCTGCCAGCAAATCTTTCCTGCTTGCATTAGCTTAAATTGTTGATACAAGTGAAGCAATATCTGATGTTATTGTGCAACACTGTGATTGACTAGATAACACATTATGTATACTGTACTTATTTAAATGTTAGTTATGAGTATGAAACATTATTGAGCAATGAATCAAGGTGCTCAAATCTCTTTTCTTTTTAGATGGATGCTTAATCCTCAGAGGCGTGACACAGATTATGACATTTACATTTAAATATGTACCTGTGTTCTCCTTGTTCCAACAGTACCTAAAGATGTTCACTGACTTCCTGTCCTTCATGGTGCTCTTCAATTTCATCATTCCGGTGTCCATGTACGTGACAGTGGAGATGCAAAAGTTTTTGGGATCCTTTTTCATCACATGGGACAAGGACTTCTTTGACCCTGAAATCCAAGAGGGGGCACTGGTCAACACTTCCGACCTCAATGAGGAGCTGGGGCAGGTAAGGCACATGGACATGGTTAAATGATGCAAGATTTAAATTGCACAATTGTGTGTCATTAGGGAATTACTATCTACAAACTCAGCATTCCCATGAGTTATTAAAACCTGTTAAACTCTTAAATAATGTTTCCAGGCAATGAAAAAAATCCTGAATAATGAAAAAATAGAACAAAATGTCCTGGAACAGGAAAGTTATTACAGTGGGACCTCAATGATTTCAGTCTGTATAATGTCTGATGTGGTTTTAGAAAGCTGAGAAAATTGAGAAAAATTTGTTAAGATGTACTTTTTCTGGACTGTGTTCTTAAATATTGTGCATGTGTAATTTATAGAACAACAACTAGCACTGTATCACACCCAGTTTTAATCTTTTCCAAACACCTACTGTGTAGAGAACAGCTGTATGTCACTTCAGCTTAAAAGCCATTTAAGGTGTGAAGAAAAACATTTTTGCACGCAGATCACTCAAGTCTAATGCATTCGGAGGCATTTAATGCACTTTCCTTAATTAATTTTAATACTTTAATACTTAATTTGTTTAAAACAAAAAGTAGAATTACAGGAAAAACCAAGGTAAGATTGAGTCATACAAAAACGTGGTCTCCACACTGATCTTAACAGTACTACTGCTTATAATAACACCAGATTGCCTGTGCTGTTCTGACTTCTCCTATTTTTTTTATCGCACTTCTAACTCAGACACTGCTGCCATAAATCAGTCACACTTGGTTTGCAAGATGATTATTTCAATTAAAGTTGATGCTTCGTTAAACTGATTAATGCACTGTAATTCTCTCTGGGAATAATTGCCTATTCTTATTGTTGGAACCTGTTAAATGGGCAACTAAAGTTTTATGGGTTTGGAAGAGTCTGTCATGTGTTTTTATCACATTGCCTGCAGGTGGAGTATGTCTTCACAGACAAGACGGGTACCCTCACTCAGAATAACATGGAGTTCATTGAGTGCTGCATCGACGGCTTCCAGTACAAGTACCGGGACGCAAGCTCAGAGTTGGACGGATTCTGCGTCACAGATGGACCTGTGAGCAAACTACAGGAGAAAGCTGGCAGGGTGGGTGTTGTGGTGTCCCTCCATCTGTTGTAAAAGTCACACAAGCGGCAACATATGGTCATTACATAGCTCGCTGCTCAGAAAGACCCTTCATAGGTCACACACATGCTGTCTTCATGACATGTAAACATATGCACTGAACATGGAGGGGGAGCAAAGTGGCTGTGTGTTCTTGACATGAATACCTGATAACACTTTACAGTGGCATGTGTGTTGATAAGAAGTCATTCTAATCATATGGTTGTAAATATAGGCATTTATCTAAGCTACTGTATATGGCTTCATATATGGCTGTAAAGTAGTTATTAAAGGTATGATATGTAATTTTTCCACATTAAAATGTCTAAAAGTAATTAGACAAGTTATACACTTTGCTGAGTTGTGCACTTTACATTATCCCAAATGTTTCCATCAATTTTCAAATTTAGAAAAATCTGTAATTTCTATCAATGTCTGTTTCATTTGGTTGCCTGTCAATGGTGTCATGTCCCCTTTATTCATACATTTCTGGCAGACAACCACAGTTGGTAGTTTTTAACTAAACATTTTATCTTACATATTTTAATCGAATGAAGGATTTTTTTAATTGGATGTCTGGATCTTAAGTTATTCGAGAAATAAGCTAAGCATACGTTAGCAGCAGTCCCATGTACGCCACACAGCATAGGAGAAACAATGATTTTTAAAGTAGAATTGCTTTATTCAGTATTTTTACTGGATTTAATCACCTGGTCTGTTTGTGTTGGAGAGGGGGGGACTGCAGCGAATAATTCAGCTCCTTGTAAAAACCTCCTGAATGATTAACACTGAAGTAGTCCTAACTGGGAGAAGCTGACTGTAATGACAGCAATCATGGTGAAGACAACAACTCCCATGACCTCACGCTGCTTCACAACATCACCAAACTGTTTTGTAAATTTTTGATTGAGAGACCCCTTGTGGCAGAACATAACATATTGTGTGTTTAATTAGAAATTATTTATAAAGTAATTTAAACAGCAGGTACTGGATCTTACTTTACTGTATTACATCGTGTTCATTTTGTGTTATTAGGAGAAAGAAGAGCTGTTTCTGCGTGCCCTGTGTCTGTGCCACACGGTCCAGGTGAAGGAGTCTACAGAGCAGGGTCAAGGCCAAGCGGACGGACTGACAGACCAGGTGGATGGCTTAGGGGTGGATGGAGAGGTGGTCCATCCACTGCAGGAGCAGCGAGGCTTTATAGCTTCCTCACCCGATGAGGTTGCTCTGGTCAAGGGTGCCATGAGGTAAGAGATGGGCTTTGATAACTAAGTGAGTTGAAATGACATAACAGTTGGTCAGAGAACAAGCAAGTGGTTTGAATATGAATATCACACAATGTATTTTGAAAATCCTGGGTAGGTATACATTTCACTTCTACATTCATTCATTCAGCACATGAATGGCTCATTTATGATGATTTGTCTCCATCTGCAGGTATGGCTTCACATTTCTGGGTCTGGAAAGTAAAACCATGAAAATTCTCAACAGGAACAATGATGTTGAAATGTAAGTCAGAAGTTACATAGACAACGTTTTTTGGTTTTTAGTGACATTTTTTCCATTTCCATTTGCACTACAGCTTTAATTTTATTTCCATTTTGTACTTCCCAAAGGTATGAACTCCTTCACGTGTTGAACTTTGACCCAGTGAGAAGGCGAATGAGTGTAATAGTCAGGTCAAGATCAGGTGAGCTTGAGTTTACTGTTATTGCATGGATCATGATTTAGTGCCTGCGCTGAGCCCTCACCTTACTGCGTGTTTGTGTGTTTTTTGTCTCCAGGTGAAACACTGCTCTTCTGCAAGGGAGCGGACTCTTCTATCTTTCCCCGTGTGAGGCAGGAAGAGGTTGAAAGGATACGCATGCATGTGGAGCGTAATGCAACCGTGGGTGACATAAGCATGTCTTGTCTTTTCGAATTTAAATAGAAGTTTAAAAGTATATACTGAACGGTCCTAGGATTAGATGGATTTTAGTTTAAGATGACAATGATTTCGAGACACATTATGTTGTGTTTTTTTTTTCTTTCTTTCTTTCTTACTAACGTGTGTTTCACTGTTTAGGAGGGCTACCGGACACTGTGTGTGGCCTACAAACGTCTCAGTCCAGAGGAGTACGCCCAGGCAGATGAAGGACTGAAGGAAGCTAGACTGGCTCTGCAGGACAGAGAAGAGAAGCTCATGGCTGTTTACAACCAAGTGGAGACTGGAATGAGTCTGATAGGAGCTACTGCTGTAGAAGATCGGTGGGTGTTCACACAACGTACAGTACTCACAGATGAATCTGCTGATGTTTAAAGTTGTTGAATGTCTTGCGTTTTTTTTTTACTTGGTTGCTATTGTTGTCCCTCCTCACACCTCCATTAAAGATTCCTGGTAGTATTTTGTCTGGTATGACATTGCCTGTCTAATTTCACTTGAGTTGTCTGGTGACAGCCAAAAGTCCCCTTTTTTCTCCCCCTGTGGTGCATTTGGTTCTTTCTTCTACTGTCCAAGATTTAAAAACTTCATAACATGCAGCAGGTATTGTTTTTTTTTTTAATTTTTATAAGTATTGTTGAATTTAGGAGGCTACAAATGTGATGGAACAATTTATTGCATCAGGATGCATCAATGCACTTCATCTGACATACTTTTATAATTAATTAATTTATATTAAAATGTAATGTATGTATTGTCAATTTATTTGATTAAAAGGATATGTATATCCCCTTTAATATACTAGTACTCTTTTTGTGCCACCACACGCGAAACATTTTCAATTATAATTTGAATATGGTACATTTAGTATCGACAGATGAAACTGTGGTGAAGAGAACCTGTGTGACCATATTTCCCACAGCCCCCTGTGACACATGTCTGAGGGAAGACACTCTCATCCTCATTTAATATTTGCTTGAGAAAAACAACAGCCTTGTTCGGATTTTGTGTCTTTGTATCAGTGTAATAATCTTTCCTGTGTCTCATTCCTTTGTATTGTTCTTATCCCCTAGGCTTCAAGAGGAGGCAGCAGAGACCATGGAGGCTCTGCAGGGGGCAGGCATGAAGGTTTGGGTCCTGACAGGGGACAAGATGGAGACGGCAAAGTCTACCTGCTATGCTTGTAGGTTGTTCCAGAGAAATACAGAGCTGTTGGAGCTGACAGTGCGCACTCTGGAGGATGGAGGGAGGAGGCGTGAGGAACGGCTACATGACCTCTTGATTGAATATCATAAGAAAGCTGTGCAGGATGCACCGCCAGTTAAGGCAGGCGTCACCAGGTTAGTTACCCAGATGTCATGACTTGCTCTTATTTAACCAAACTAAATCTTATTGATGATGAAACTTGATCCCATTCTTCTTCCCTGTGTTGTAGGAACTGGTCTTCGGCAAACCAAGACTATGGTTTCATTATAGATGGAGCCACTCTGTCGATGGTGCTCAACTCCTCCTCCTCTGAATCCAACTCAAGTCGCTACAAGAACCTGTTCCTGCAGATTTGTCAAAACTGCACAACTGTGCTCTGCTGCCGTATGGCTCCTCTACAAAAGGCACAGGTCAGAACAACCAGTTAAAATGTGGAAAATATTCATTCATTAAAGAATTGATGATTTTAAGAGTTTTATGTTGCCCCTCTTTCTTGCTCTATCTACAGATAGTTAAAATGGTGAAGAACTCTAAAGGCAGCCCAATCACTCTTTCCATTGGAGATGGTGCCAATGATGTCAGCATGATTTTGGAAGCTCATGTTGGAATTGGTAAGAAATCTCGGGCCACCAGATCTCTAATTAATTCCAAATAGAGGGGCGGGTAACATTTTGGTAAAGGTTGTGTGTAATTATTTGTTCTTGGTGTTTTCAGGTATTAAGGGTAAAGAGGGTCGGCAGGCAGTAAGGAACAGTGATTATGCCATCCCCAAACTGAAGCACCTCAAGAAACTTTTGTTGGCTCATGGGCATCTCTACTATGTTCGCATTGCACACTTGGTGCAGTATTTCTTTTACAAGGTAGGAGTTTCAGTCAAATTAACTTTTTATCAGTCTTCAGTCTTCTAAGAAGTTGCTTTGGGTTTCAGCCAAGCTTGCATTTCCCAACCAAAGCCACATACTCACTTGATTTGAGGACAATGCGGCGAGGAAACACAAATTTGACAGAATCAATCTTCTTAACAAGATAGACAGATTTGTAGGTTCAAATTAGGTTAATGTTTTTTTGTACCTTCATTATAAGCATGTGGGAACTTAGGTATGCATTTGATGTCCTTTGATGTTTTTATCCATTATAGTGAGAGCCTCTTCTCTTTCTCTTTTTTCCCTGCAGAATCTTTGCTTCATCTTACCTCAGTTTTTGTACCAGTTCTTCTGCGGCTATTCCCAGCAAGTGAGTACGTCCTGAGGCCCTTTGAGGTTCAAAGATGTTCTGAACATGAAAGGAGGCAGTGTCCCTTGAATCCACATGTCCTCGTCCTCCTGAATGCCAGACTCTTTCCCTCAGATTGCCCCTCCCTCACTGCCCCTGGGATGTTTGAGCTCTGATTGATATGTTTATACACTGACTGCATAGCACTGATAAAGTAATACAGATGTGTGTCATACTCTGCCACCATGGTACAATCGTATGAGGACATTGTGAAATTATGGTGGTGTGTCTATGCCTTTCGAGTGTGAAGTCGCACTGTTACAAACACAATAACTTAACAATACATTACAAGTATTTGGATTAGATGACCTGATTACAGTTTGGATCACATTGATGAATTCACTAGCTTATTAATGAGAAATCGGTTTATTTTTTTTAATAAAATCTGTATAGATATAGAGTGTTTTGTGCTACTATGTTCATTTTAAAAAACTGCTCCTGACATGGAACATCATTTATTAGAGCAGTAGTTAACACAGTTATCATCCTTTTAAGATAATTGATAATCTTTTGGTATGTCTGTTTGGTGAGGGGAAATATGTCATTCACCCTCCCTCCTCCATCTTGGATCTTTCATAAGTACATGAAAGATGTATATAAGCTTGCCTATATGACATACTGTATGTGTAAGTATGATGGTGTGTATGAGTTTTGTCCTTTCCATAATATTAACCCCCGGTTGCCCCATCCATCCTCCTCCTCCTTACCAACCCCTCCCCCTTCACTCCCCCATGCTGCTCCCATACTCCCCAGCCCCTGTATGACGCGGCCTATCTGACGATGTACAACATCTGCTTCACCTCTATGCCCATCCTGGCTTATAGCCTCTTGGAGCAGCACATCTGCATTGAGGTTCTGCTGGACAATGCTACCCTCTACAGGTAAACCTGGGAAACTTCGCTTATCTGCAGTACACTTGTAGATACACATGTAGATGTGCTTGTTATGTTGCTTCCTTTAAGTAAAATTAAGAACTTCCTCTTCATGTTTCAGATCTTGGATTGATGTGAGCAATAATGACTTAATTAATTAATTGATTGAAATGCCAATCTTTATTTTGGTCTTATAATTGAAAGAAATAATTAAAAGAATGGAAAACAGAAATGTACTTAAGTTCTAGTAAAGTCAAAATAATTACAGCCTACACCTTGCTGGTTATTGCTATATCTTCTTACATTTTAGCCATAGATTATTACTCACTGTACAAAATTTGAAATTTAGTGAACAAGTTACACAGTTCCTTTGCCAATGTCAAACTTAGGTTAGCCATTTCAGCTTCTTTAGCACATCATAGAAATAGGTGGCCCTGTCCCACGGTAGCCAGTTGATTTCTATACTAACTGGGCATTTTCTTTTTTTCCACCCTTTTATATTTTAAATTGTATTGATTTCACTTTTGACCAGATATAGGCCCTTGTATGCGGAAACCCATTGAAATAGACCACAGTCAATTTGCAAATCACCTTAATGTGACTTGTGTCGAGCATCTTAAGCCTTCATTATGAGATGAAACCTTTAAATTTCAAGCTTTAGTTTTCAGTTTTTTTTATTGTTTTAGATCGAGTTGTTCATATTCCTCAAATATTTAGCTTCCCGTTTCATAGTTGAGATTATTTGCGAAGATAGATACAGTGCTTTCAGAAAGTATTTGGACACATTCAGTTTTTTCACATTTTGTTATGTTGCATTATGCTAAAATAAAAAAAAAAATTCTCTCCTCGATCTACACTCAATAACCCATAATGACAAAGTGAAAATAGAATTTCTGAAATTTTTGCAAATAAAGGAAATATCACATTTACAGAAGTATTCAAATCCTTTGCTTTGACATCTGTGGTTATTCCAATTGATTGGACATGATTTGGAAAGGTACACACCTGTCTATTTAAGGTCTCCTAGCTGACAATGCAGATCAGAGCAAAAACCAACCATGAGGAGGAAGGAACTGCCTGCAGAGCAGTCTGTTGAGGCACACATCTGAGGAAGGTTACAAAAAAAAATTCTTCTGCATAGGAGTTTCCCAAGAGCACAGTGGCCTCGATAATTCTTAAATAGAAGAAATTTGAAACAACCAGGAATCTTCCCACAGCTGGCTGCCTGGCCAACCTGAGCAATCGACGGAGGACAGCCTTGGTAAGAGAGGTGACCTAATGATCACTTTGGCTGAGCTCCATAGAACCTGTGTGGAGATGGGAGAAACTTCCTGTTTTCACTTTGTCATTATGGGATACTGAGTGTAGTTTGATATTGAAAAAAAATGTTTGATTTTAGCATAAGGCTGCAACATAAGAAAATGTGAAAAACGGAAGGGGTCTGAACACTATCTGAACGCACTGTAAAGTAAAGAGTTTGTTCATCTTTCTCTTTAATGATTTTCTTCAGAGGGATTGCTAAGAATGCCATGTTACGGTGGGGACCATTCCTCTACTGGACATTACTGGGAGTCTTCCATGGCTTGCTCTTCTTCTTTGGTGTTCGGTATCTGTTTAGTAACCCAGCACTACAGGACAACGGCCAGGTTTGTCCTCTGATTTAATTCACCTTCTAAATGGGTGTGCTATTAAATTAATTGATTAAGCATTGTCTCCTAAGTACATCAGCTCATTTGTCTTATTTAAATCCAGGTTTTTGGGAACTGGTCATATGGAACAATAGTCTTCACTGTCCTTGTCTTCACTGTCACATTAAAGGTAAATCACTCGTTTGTTGTTTATTTATCTCATCTCATGAAATGAAAATGAAAAATGTGTTGGATATTTGACATGCACATTCAGTGGCTTTTCTCTGCTGTTCTAGCTTGCTCTGGACACACGTCACTGGACGTGGATCAACCACTTTGTAATCTGGGGATCCCTGGCTTTCTACGTGTTTTTCAGCTTCTTCTGGGGAGGAATAATATGGTTAGAGAACAAGTCAGGATGAAATAACCTGTATAATCCTTGTTGTTGACCTGTTATTTTTCATTTCTATGCAACCGCTGTCGCCCTTCCACCCTGTGAAAACCAGTGTTCTCTATCCTGCAGGCCTTTCCTGAGGCAGCAGCGTTTGTACTTTGTGTTTGCCAACATGCTGAGCTCGGTGTCAGCCTGGCTGGTCATCATCTTGCTCATCCTCCTCAGCCTACTGCCAGAGATCCTGCTTGTGGTGTTCCGCAAGCCCCGCGGCCCCCACGCTCGACAGGTAGAGCTGAGACAGGCACACACACACTTGGCGCGGCATGCACATTTGCACACCACTTTCTCTCTTCCTCTCTCTTCCCCTCTCTCCCACTCTCTCTCTTTCCCTTCTGCCGTCCCTCTAGCTTTCCATACATTTGTTGTGACAATTTAACCATTTGTTTTTTCAAGGGTTCAGTTCTTGTTAATGGAGCCCATCCTTGATGTATTTCCAAGTGAAGCGAAATACACGGGTAGGGTATAGGGTGGGCGTGCCTATGTATCCACGGAGCGATGCTTCACTGTACAGGGCTGTTGGCCTCCACTCACACCTCTATCCCTATTGTAAAAGATAACAGAACTATTAACACAGGGACACAGGAACTTGCCATTTGTTTTCATTGCATCTTTAAGTTCAGGCTTTTAAAATCAACTCCCATTTCCTCCAGAAGTCAACTTTCCCAGGCATATTTTGTCATTACAATAGGCTCCCCATGATGCTAATGTGTTTTCCAAGCAGCTGGAAATGTTTGGTGCTATGCGGGTGCTGTTAGGTGCATTCCACACTTGTTTTTTAAAATAGTGTCTAGACTTGTTTTATTTGGAAAAAAAACAATGTTTTGCACATGTTGAGGGGAGTCGTACCAAAGTGTTGTATAATCTATACTTCTTACAGTGCATATGGTTTGTATCTGTCGGTTTGCAAAGTGGCAGAATTAATCAAAAATGTACAAAATCATTTTTTTTTTTTAATATCTTTGTTAGTGCGTGTAAGTCTACAGATTTAAATGACAGTTTTTTATTTTAGAACATCCCCTTTAACCTATTATTTACTCATTTCCAACTTTATTTTCCTAACTACTCTTGCTTTAGCACAAGCACTTTAACACTTTCCACTTACTCTCTCACCCTATTATTTCTTCTCTCCTCCTCTCTGGACCTGCCTCCCTAAAGATGAAACATCGCCTTCCTTCCTCGGGGACATCTACTATCTTCATGTTGTCGCAGACCGCTAGCACTCACAGCTTCTCGTGGAGTGACTGAGGTCTCTTTTTCTTTCTGTCAGTTCTTATACTTAAGACTCTTCCTGCAGAGTTTCTGTGTCTGCCAGTCTTGCTTGTTTCCTACCTTTTGTGTCCTTCCTCTCCCACTGTTACTCATTCCTTACCCTCTAAAGTAACTCGGGCTGGTGTTCTGCAGCTTCTTATAGTCCCCACTCGGTCGGATGGATTAGGTCAAATACTTCAGATTAGAGATTATTACCTCACGAATGGCATCCTTGGAGGGCCCCATCTTTAAACCTTGACTACAGTGCTTTTCTTTAGAGATATGTTTATTAAATTGGGAGGAATGTTGGTCAAATGGGGTGGTGTGTGCCCAACTCTGCCAGCAGTGTGGAGTAGGACCAGGTGTCCATGCTGAAAACGTGCAGCCAGTCTTCCATCCTTGTATGTCCAGTTGTCGCAGTCAGTGTCTCCTCCCAGCTGCCTGTTCTGCTGCAATGCCTGCTGCCTCCGCATGTCCAGTCAGGTGAATGCAGCACGTCAAAACACCCAAACCTACCTGCATGAGGCTCAAGTCAACAACCTCATCCTGGATCCTCACCACAATCCCTGCGGGTCACTGCATTTTGTCTGTGCGTGTGTGTGCGCGTGCGTGTTACATTGTCCATTCTTTTTAAGAAATCTGAAAGGATAGTGGCCCTGTATTAATCTGGACGAATTGGTATGGAGTCAAGGCGTCTGAAAATTATTATTGCAAGGAAAAGGTATCTAAAAAGGCATCCAAACTGAATTTCATTATCCACCTGTCCAGTTTTGAAGGCTTTGTGTCTGTATATGTTTGTTCCCTGTGTATGTCTGTGTGCAAGAGAGAGCACAAGGGGAGAGAGAGAGACAAAAGTGTGTGTGTGTCTGTCAGCGTAGTGATGTCATTGGTGTCTCTTGCCTCACCCTTCTAGAAGAAGCTGGTTCAGTCGAGCGTGGGGAGCCTCCAGTCTCCCCGGTCTTCAGCCAGACCCCTGCTCATGAGAACCTTTTCAGATGAGTCCAATACTGTCTTTTAAGCAGGTACCAGCCCACCTTCAGGCCATTTAAGCCAATCAAAGACTTGTTCCCCCCACCAACCTGTCCAGCAGTCCTGGTCCCTAACTCTGAGTTTTAACAAGAGAATCAAAGGCATAATGGCATACGGATCACATCCAGCAAGGCACAATGTGTTGTTGTGTGTTGTGTAAGCTGCTATTGGCTGGCTGAAGAGATGCACTTCCATGTCAGACTAAAATTTTGTGGCAACATTTTTAGTTAAAATGGTAAAATGGTGCATTTTGTTAATGTGAATGCATCTCCAGGGCTAATGTTGCAATTTTAACCATTTTTAAAAACACGTGCTCCTTTCAGCCTCCCTTTGAAGTCCCAGCTTATTCACCCCCTGCATGTGCTTTTAAAAACCCAATTTTTGAATGTATTTGATTTCAGTCCATTTCATTTCTTATTTTTGGACTGAGAATGTCTGTCTGTGTGTTCCTGTATGGTGTTGTTCTCAGTTTGCTTGGGTTTTCTCACCTGGTGGTGTGAAACAGCAGAGCTGATCTGTGATTATAACTTCCCAGTCTGGTATTTATGTACTGTTTGTAACGTGATGGTTTCTTGATGATCGTTTCGTCATGTGTGCACATCCAAACCTGTGTTGGTGGTGTCATCTGCTTACTTTCTTGGCAAATAATGTATGCATTTGTAAGTGCTGAGCTTAGCTCAATGCCTGATGTGATGCTGCCTTAACCTCAGTCCAAATGCAGCTGCATTACCTACAGGGGGTAGACAACAAATTAAATGGAAACACCAATACAAAATATTTGAAAATTGCAGCAGTTAAATGTAGGAAAAAGTGTTCAATATTTAATAAATGTAATGTAATACATAATCTGAATAAATACAGACAAAATGTGAAATCTATATCCTGAAAATTACAAAATAGTCCAATACATTCAGCTCATGTTTTTTATCCTAGCAACTTTTGTAACAAAACTTTTTTTTTTTTTTTCCCCCACAATGCCGTTTTCCCCATTGATTGTTTTATTTCATAATGCCACTTTTCATCACCAGATCTCTGAAAGAGCAAACAACCAATCACAAAACTGACTCTGCCCTGTTTGACCTTGTGATGAAAAGTGGTATTATGAAATAGAATGGATGGAAATAAAATAATTTTATTGTGAAAAGAAGCAGGGTGATATAACATTTCATAATTATCAGACTGTCACAAATAACTTTATTACATTTTTGTGGTTTATTACGTATTTTGTCTGTATTTATTCATATGATTGTTTATATCATATTGCATTATTATTAGATACTTTTGGTCTCCATGGGTAATAATAATAAAGGCCAGACTCCAGCTTTTGATATTATGTCAAATGTAAGGGGTTTTACATTTTTTGTCCAGCCCCTGTAGGTCTGAATGTCATTCAAATTTGTCTTCCCATCACCGTTGACCAGGGGCACCGATCTCTGTCGCTTAATCACAGCACTAAGCTTTTTGCAGCAGCTTTCATGGTTTAATCTGAATTTCTATTCTCCCTGTAGCTGTCAGAGGACGGCCTCCTACAAACATCCAGGTAAACCACAAAGAGACAAACCTAGCCTTGTGTTTAATGTCCCTGCTGAGCTTCAATAGAAATGAAATGAAATCGGGAGTGCTTCCGTGACTAATTTCTGCTTGTCTTTGGTGGCGGGAAAAATATAATTTAAGTGATGTATGGTGTTTATGTGCAATCACCAGTTCTTTGATGGTTATGGGTGATTTCAAGATGTCATCTTCCTCTTGTTGGCACAAGCTCGTACTGAAAACATTTAAGTAAAGTCTACCTGCTTTTCGCTTTTCCAGATCGCAGCTATCACACCACTGTCCTACAAGCACCTGAAGGAGCGTGAGTAAAAGGCATCAAGGACTCACAACAACGGTGGCATCAGCCACATTCAGGATCCCGTGCTAGTTGGGTCAGAGCTGATCTGAGAAGAAGAGGAGGAAAAAATGAGAAGAAAAAGAGAGATGTTCTGACTGGGGGGAGGGGATGAAAAGGGATTTAGCAGTCTTTTGACTTGTGTCTTACTGCTCTGTCCGTCCTCTGCCCAATCCCAGCAGCTCCTAACCCCCCACGCATGCCTGCAGAGCAGTGCCCTGCATTATTTTTTAAAATATCTACTCAGATGACAGGCATGAGTTTTCTTTCTTTTACTTCTTCTTTTTTTTTTTTTTTTTTTTTTTTTTTTTTTTAATTACTAGCTTACAAATGAATGCATACACGGCTGCCTTGTCAGTAGCTCTATCCAACTGCTGTGTTTTAACAAGCAGTTGTAATATCCACTCCAAGAATGGTTCACCTGCATGAAAGAAGGCTCAAAAGAACGCTTTACTCCACTGATGTTCAGTCACTGTATTCTGCAAAGTTTTTATTAAGACATGATGATCCCATTCTCGGCGGTTACACAGGTTATTCTACTTTACAATTTTACAGTTATTACACTTTTCAACATTATTCTTTAAATGATTATCATATTTTCTTTTCAGAAAATACACTCACCCACATGTCCAAATAGTTCAAAATAAAAAGTTACTGAATGTGATTTCAGTCCAGCTCAGAGCTACAAACCAACTGTTAGAACAGTTTTCTGGTTTATAGATTATTATATGATTATTTGTTTCCAATGGTGAATCTACAGTCTCTATTGAATACTAAGGTATAAACAGAGGTAATGGAGACCATATTACCACTCAATCCAAAAAGTGTGCGTGTGTGGATGCAAGATTGAGAGATAGATTAGAGATGTTAAGCATATTCTGGTAATGAAACATTGCTTAGAGAATGACCTAAATCTTTCAACCTCAGAGATAATTTAAGAGAGTCCAATTAAGATGAGAAGATTAATATATGTATCGTACTGTATATAGCTTAGAGATGTATGACAGCACCTGCTCAAAGCCAAAAAGATGAACATAATGCTATCGGAGTCTGTCCACACGAATGTGACCTGAAAGTGACATGTCGGTGTGTGTGTATCCGTGTGTTACATAAGTAAGTGTAACTGTACTGGATGGTACTGGATGAGAAAAGCCAGAAATGCCTGTGTGTAATGGAAACCAGGATTACTTGAACCTTGTTGATGTAGTTCAGTTAGACATTTCCTGCACTATTAAGGAAGGTTTATTCATTGCATAGCTGGTCACTAAGGCACATGAATATATGCCTGAGCATACGCACGCACATATCTGATAGGTGAGAACATTAAACCCACAAATAACCACACATGTTATACACATAAATGCACACATGCACTAAAGCCTAAATGAGGTATTTATGTTCATTATCCATTATCTAGTTTGTGTAATTTGTCTCAGTCAGGCTGAAGTTGGAGTGTAAAGAGATCCTCCAAACTCCAGACCTGCAGAGTCAACCTAGTTCATGCTACTGTGAGGCTCCATGTTCTTTCTTCTGTTTCAGGTCAAATCTGCTGACTTTCAGGATGAGGGTTGACAGTTTGGCCTTTTCTTCCTTCATTTAACTTGTTGTGTGTAGTGCTTCATACATTCCATTTAAACATGCCATGATTTCAAACACTTTAAGATACTGTTTTTGGATTTTTTTTTTTTTCCCTACACAAATATGTATCGTCTATTTGGCATATTTATTGTTAAGTGAAATTTTACTCACAAATGTTATATTTTTATTGCATAAATATTTTTTATTGTGGAGAGTGATCAGCTTTGTGCCAGTTGAGTTTAGCCTGTGTTACTCCAGCCCTGATGTGAGCCCTTGCCAATTCCATTTGATAGTCTTTGTCATATACACAAAGACAGGCAGCCCCCCCAAACACACTCCCAACATCCCAAAGTCAACCTCTGAACCGATGCCACTCCTTTTGCAAGTGATCTAACTCTTGGTTTAAACTAGTGATTACCTGTCACTAGTCGTTTATGTTTTGTGTTACAGCCAACTGTTACAGAATCTGTTAGTATGGTGATTTTAAAGTTCACAACTTCACTGATCTCTGCTCGAAAAATAACTCCACTACAATAGTTTTTGGTACTAGTCTTGTATTTCACACCACTGATTGTAGCCTGACATATGTGATACAGCTCATCTGCAGAATGGCGCAGGCAGTCATAACAACAAGTGGAGGTTTAAATCAAGTTAATGTTGCTTTGTTCTTAACAAATGAAAAAAATTTACACACCTTTCAGCGACATTTTCTACTAAGACAGTCTGTTTTTCTGATGTTAGGCTTGCGGAGGAGGCTGTTCTTTACTCTGTGATATGTCACCTCCAGGCTGCACTGTGCCAGATATACTGGATGTAAGAGGACTCACTTGAGAGGGGCTGCCTGCTTTGTCCAATGAAAAACCTTTAAGTGACATCAGAGATGCTATTTTCTTCGAATCTAATGTTTTGCCTGTCTAATGAAAAGTATAAAAGAATGGATTGTATTTTTAATGCAACCTTTTTCCAGCCACTTTTTGTAAGAAAATCAAAAATGTCCAAAAAAAAGCACGAGAGGCTCTGTGGTCGTGGACGCTGTCCCTGTCTGTGAGGGGTGGAGGTGGACACCTTCAGGCACCTCAGCAGCCCTGCCTCATACAGCAGGGACACCTTGCCACCTCCAGCCCTTTGGGTCTCCAGCCTCAACACTCCAAACCTCCAAGCTGAATGTACCTCTTTGAAACTAGTATATTCAAAACCTGAAGATTTTCTGTAATAAAGCAGAATGTTTTGAAGATACACTAATGTCTTATAGTGCTTTGTTACTCTAACAGTTGTGTCAGCAGCCTCTGATGTAAAGATGTGTGTTTGTGTGGGCGGTTGGGAGTGTTTGTGTGTGTGTGTGCGTGTGTGTGTGTGTGTGTGTGTGTGTGTTTGTGTGCATTTGACCACACTAAGCAGATGCTGTGCTT